ATATTAATACTGATACAAAAATCTGATTTCATTAAATACAAAAACACAAATTATAACACGGTATAAGATGTCGCTCTTAATACAATCCAGATCCGTCAAATTTTTTAGATTCAATATTTAATTTTTTTGTCAATTTCTTATTACAGCATGTAGTTATAATTGAAATTTTTTTACTTTATTTTAACAAAATTTTACTTTATTACATATTATCATATATTATTCATATTATCGAAACATTTCTTGATTAAATGTATGTAGGGCTTGATTGATTTTTGCCGATGCAGCTTTAAAGACTTGCCGAATCTCGTTTGCTGCGTGGTCACGGTATTCTAAGTTGTGGAGCCTTCGTTGCGCGCCGCGAGACTCTGTTGTGAGCCGCGAGCCCTTTGGCGGGCCGCTTTAATCGCGTTTTCGAGCCAGCCGAATGTCGGATATAAAAGCTCGCGAGTCGACAAATCGGGGCAGAACGTGTCGAACGTCCAACGAGAGCGAACCACCCGTGTCAAATATATTCTTTTACCAAGTATGTGCTAATTACTTGATCCCTAGCTCCCAATCCCACATTTGGGGGCTCGTCCGGGATACGAGCAATCGGGATACGAGCAACCGGGATACGAGCAACCGGGATACGAGCAACCGGGATTCGAGCAATCGGGATTCGAGCAACCAGGATACGAGCAATTGAGATACAAACAGTTCGGGATAAGAGCTGAGATTTGAGTGATCCGAATTAGTGTTGTAAAGATGAGTGCGAAGAATCCGTCAGACTTCGGTAAGCCAGTTAAAAGAGAAGTTGCGAGAGCTGGGACTGGCATCGACCGGGAATAAGGCGGAATTAATCAGTTGATTGAGCGAAACGGACCTATCGGGTAGATGGGCGGAAAAGATTTTGGATCTGTCGGAAGTATATGCGATAACTTGAGATAGCATAACGAGACCACGAGACTGGAAAATACCTTCCGCAATTTGTCAAGGATAAGCATATCATCCATAGCGGATTATTTTAACATTGTTTAGCTGCTTTAGTGGCAATAACGAAGAAAACTACGAGAGCTGGGAAATACAGCTCAGGATGCTGAGAGCAACATACCATTTACCAGATCAACATGTAAAAATTCTGATTGGCATGCGATTTAAGAGGAAAGCTTCGGAGTGGCTACAATCTAAACCTGAGTACATTGAGCTCCCATTGGATGGCGTTTGTTAGAGGAACTACGGGAGATGTACAACCATCGTCCCTGCAAGATAACGCTAAGAAATTTGAGGAATGTGTGTGGGAATGCAATGAAACCTTCCATCAATATGTACATGAAAAGATGATTTTGGGCAATCGCGTACCGATCAAGGAGGACGAAATCGTCGACTATCTCATCGACAGGATTCCTGTGGCGACTTTGAGAGATCAGGCACGTATTAGTGGATTCACCACAAAAGCTTCGCTGCTACGAGCATTTGAAAAAGTGTCGCTGCGAGGCAAAGGTACGATGGGCAACGCAAAGGAGCAAGAGAAGCAGAGTGACGGAGAACGACGGCGGCGCGGAAACGAGAGAGATGTGCGAGTGAAGGACGGGAAGAGGAATGCGCCGAAAAGCGAGCGCGAAAAGCGGTGTTTCAACTGTGAATTGTGTAATCATGTGAGCGCGGAATGTCCAACAAAGTCAGAGGGTCCAAAATGCTTTAAGTGTGGTGAGCAAGGACATGTCGCATCGTATTTATACTGATGTGCGCGCTGCCCGTAGAAAATATAATAAAGAAGTCGAAATTAGCGGTAATAAAATGTTAGCTTTAGTTGACACCGGAAGCGATATTTGTTTATAGCGCGCTGACCAGTATATTCGGTTGGGTTCTCCCCAATTAAATCCGCGAGAAATTCGATTTGAAGGCATAGGCTCAAAAAATTACGCTACGTTAGAAAAGTTTAGCGTAAATTTAGCGATAGATGGATTTGTATATCCAGTTCTTATTCGCGTCATGTCAGACTCTTATATCACGACTTACTTATAGGGACCGACTTTCTTGACACGGTAGAAATGATAATCAAATGCGGCGAAGTTTCTATTAAACTGTTTACTAAGCAGTTGCCGGAGAACGAAAGCATCCCTGAAATTTTCCACATTAACGTAGAGTCAGATGAAGCCAATATAGCTCACATACCAGATCGGCTTCATAGAGAAAAAATTAAAAGGCTAGTGGGCAACTATACACCCGTCCCGGAACATAGATTTAAAGATGACAATTATACTGAAAGACGAGGAACCTGTTTACCAGAGGGCCAGGCGCTTATCTGTCGGAAAAGGAACAAGTTCATGCTCAAATAGAAGAATGGCTACGAGACGGCATAATACAGCCATCCTTATCAGAATACGCGAGTTCGGTTGTGCTAGCAAAGAAAAAATACGGTTCCGCAAGACTGTGTGTCGATTATCGACAGCTTAATAGAAAAATAGTTAGAGATCGTTTTCCGCTGCCGATTATAGAGGATCAGCTAGACTTGCTACAGAATGCTCGTTTTTTTAGTACGCTTGATCTGAAAAACGGGTTTTTCCACGTATTAATTGACTAGCGAAGTCGAAAATATACGGCTTTTATTGTCTTGGATGGACACTACGAATTCCTGCGCGACCCATTCAGTTTGTGCAATTCACTAGCCATATTTCAAAGGTTCATAAACATCGTATTTAGACACCTCGTGCAAAATGGAACAGTTTTAACATATATGGATGACCTGATCATACCATCCATGGATCGCGAAAGCGAGATAAAGAATTTTGAAATCGTATTAAAAACCGCGAGCGAAGCTGGTCTTATAATAAATTGGAAAAACGATAATTTCTTGAGGGAGAGGGTAGAGTTTCTCGGTCATGTGGTAGATAACGGACGCATATATCCGTGTCAAAGTAAAGTAGAGGCTGTCCGGAAATTTCCTGAATCTACTAACGCAAAACAAGTACAAAGCTTTCTTGGCCTGAGCGGCTATTTTCGGAAATTCATATTGCGATACTCGACTATTGCGCAACTATTGAGCGATTTATCAAAGGTAAATGTCAAGTTTATTTTCGATGAAAATGAAAGGAATGCATTCGTTGAATTAAAAAAGGCGTTGACCCGTGAGTCGGTACCAAACTTATATACGACGGATGTGGAGACGGAGCTTCACACGGACGCCTCGATGTACGGTTACGGTGCGGTACTCTTGCAGAGGAGAGTAGATGATAACGCATTTCATCCCGTTTACTATAGCAGCGGTAAAACTATAGCAGCCGAGCAAAAATACCCGAGCTATGAATTGGAGGTATTAGCGATAATTAGAGCGCTCAAAAAATTTCGCGTGTACTTATTAGTATATTAGTATACTTTACCATTGTGACAAATTGTCGCACGTTCACTGAGATAATAAATAAGAGAGATCTGTGCATACGTGTAGCGCAGTGGACGTTGCTGCTCGAGGAATTTTACTATAAAATCGAATATTGTCTAGATAAAAATATGATGCACGTGGACGCGCTACCCGATACCCGTTGCCAGCGTGTAATCTAAACGAAGACGGGTTAACAGTTAAACTGGCAAAAACGCAAAAGGAAGCAATGTGAAAAGAATTTTTAATCTCGCAGAGTCAAACAAAATTGATAACTATGTCGTTAAGGGTGAGTTGCTATTTAGAGAACACGACGGTAATTTGCTCGTAATAGTACCAAAACGTTTGCAATCGCAAATCATCCGTCAGGCACACGAAAACGGCCACTTTTCTGTAATGAAAACCGAAGCGAACCGAAGAAAAGATTATTGGATTCCGAGCGTTAGACCTAAGATAAAGGACATTGTAAGGAACTGTATCGCGTGTATCTTGACGGAAAGAAGGCAGGGCAAACAGGAGAGATTTTTAAATTCGATAGCGAAGAGGGAAGTCCCTTTGGATACTTACCACATTGACCATCTAGGCCCACTTCCTTCTACCAGGAAAAATTATAAGCACATATTCGTCATAACCGATGCGTTCACGAAATTTGTGTGGTTATATGCCACTAACAACGAATATGGCCGAAGTTCTCGATAGGTTGAACAGTCAATCACTTTTGGAAATCCTCGTAGGATAGTCTGGGATTGCGGAATGGCGTTTACTTCAAACAATTTCGCTGAATATTGCGTGGAAGAGAGGATCGAACGACAAGTATATCCAGGGCCAACAGGCAGGTTGAATGGGTCAACCGCGTGCTTATTCCGTTGCTAACTAAACTCGCAGATCCGAAACGGGAAGAGTGGTACAGACATTTAGATAGATTCTGCACAGCAGTGTATCAATACCACGTTGAGTAGGAGCACAGACATCAGTCCTTTCCGCTTGTTTTTCGGGGTGCATGCGCGACTGCAAAAGGACCCTGGAATTCGAGAACTGCTAAACAAGGAATGGATCGAGTCCTTTCAAACCGAGCGAGATGAGCTGACGAAAGAAAAAATTGCGGAAATTCAAAGCGAGAACAAGCGCCGGTTCGATAAGAATCAGATAGCGGCCACCAGATACCGTGAAGGCGATTTAGTAGCGATCAGGCGAACGCAGCAGAGACCCGAATTGAAGTTGACAAAATATCTAGATCCAGATAATTCGAGTCGCGGTATCCTAGGTTGCGGGCCTTTGTAGCCGCAGGACTGTTGCGAACCGCGAACCCTTTGGCGGACCGCTTCAATCGCGTTTTCGAATGAGCCAAATATCGGATATAAAAGCTTGCGAGTCGACAAATCGAGGCAGAACGTGTCGAGCGTCCAGCGAGAGCGAACCACCCGTGTCAAATATATTTTTTTGCCAAGTGTGTGCTAGTTACTTGATTCCTAGCTCCCAATCCCACATGTATTTATCTCAACAAAAGTTAAATATGAGTTAAGTTTTTTCTAAATGTTATATCAAATATAAGTATCCAAATATATCAAATATAAGTATAGAACATTATATTAAATTTACATGATACAACTTACACGAAAAAATATAAAACAAAACAAAACGTTACCTCTGCCTTTGTAATGGCGGAGAAATTTGGACTGAGATAATAACGGATTCCTTCGGTACTTCCTGGCAAAGTGACACCCCTTATCAGCAGAATGAGCAAGACTGCGTAAGGAAAAAGAGCAGTAAACCAGACTACCTAGAAAATAAATCATTGAATTGCAAAACTTTCTCTAATTACATGTAGTAGTTACATATAATATCAAAAAATTGCATATAATAACTCGTAAATTATATAATGTTTCGTCCACTGCATATGCACTGATGTATAGGATGTTGCATTTACATACTGGTCGATACGACGGGTTGCCTCGTCGGCAAACGCGCGTACCGTCTCATAGTAGACCTTGGCGAAATTGTCACATACACTTTCTTTCCTATGAAAGTTACTGCATTCTCTCCCAGTCACTACGATCACGACGGACTTACGATCGGACTATTAATCGTTTATGACAAAAATAACAAAACAGATATAAAAATGGATGTGATAAATATAACATGATAATGAGAAATGAAGATTATATTTTAATCAAAAAATATCAGTCACAGTCATTTTGTAGCTCTCGACTCTCACCGGCCTTTTATTAATACGTTTCTTACATATTTACGATAACAAATACACGATAACAACGTTATATAAATAACTGGAATAATTTGGATTAATGAGGGATTCGGAAAATAGAACAACAAATTTTCTTCTTTCACGATCTCTTTATTATTATTTTTATTATTATTTTTATTATTATTATTTTTATTAGCATTTAAAATTTCATTGAAATTGAAAGTTTCGAAAGAGATGAAAAAGGAATAGTTGTAAGCTTCATGTAATCGGCTGCCGCTTGTATCCGATTCTACTTTGGAGTCAGTTTTTTCAAAAAGTCGAATGGATCAGAAACGCAACGTGAACTAATTAGGATTATTAATTGGATACGAGCGGCAGCCGATCACATTAAGCTTACGACTCTTCCTTTTTCATCACCTTCGAAACTTTGAATTTCACTGGAAAGTTTAAATGCCAATAAAAATAATAATAATAAAGAGATTGTGATAGATGAAAGTTTGTTGTTCTATTTTCCGGTTCCCTCATTAATCAAAATTATTCCAATTATATATAGGGTGTCTCAAACTCTCTTTCTCACATTAAATAGGAATGTACAACGGGTTGAGGTGAACATAAAAGTCTTATACTGTTTGGTATAATCTTATACTGTTTGGTATAATCTGATATTCGTAATAATAACCGAGAAATTAATTGTAAAAGATTAAGGAAAAACGCACGCTGAATGGTTGAGGGAGGAGCTGCGACCCAGTAATATAGTAGGCAGATGTCAGCGCGCGTTAAGTGGTAAATCAACTGTCTTATAATGAAATCGGTTGCTTGCACTAGTGCGCACTAAGGCTCGTTCACAGTATGTTATTAGGTGTACAACTTTGCTTCCGCCGTTTTCCTATAGATGGCTTTAGCGGTAAGTGGTGGTCGAAATAAATAGATCATAGATGTCATACAATAAACTTGGGCATCTGTCAACATAACCCCATAGAAACATTAGTCGATTTGTGTCTGCATCATAAAGTTATTCTAGATTGAAAATGTCAGTTTACGAGCCAAATTCTCGTCATTTGCGGGAGGTTTTAATTTTCTGCTTCAATATGAAGAAATCTGCGGCTGAGGCTCATCGAATGCTCTCAAATACTTATGGTGAGGCCGCTATTAGTGAAAAAACGTGTCGTGAGTGGTTTCAACGCTTCAAAAACGGTAATTTTGACGTCGAAAACCGGCATAGCGGTGGAAGAGAGAAGATTTTCGAAGATGCAGAATTGGAGGCATTACTTGATCAAGACTCGTGTCAAAATCAAGAAGAATTGGCACGATCATTGGGA